TTTATACACCCGTGCTGGATACCGTCCTGATTTGCGCAAGGTTGGTTCACTTGTAATTTTTCCTTTTTATGGCGTTTTGATCTTGGAATGTAGAATTTGCAATATTGCTAGAGCCCATGTGAATTATGTGATAGTGTGAAAGATGGGTGTACATTTGAAATTGCTATAGAAATTTTCCGTGTATTAGAGTCGCTATCTCTAATATATATGAATTGCGACTTCAGACCAGAAGCACATAATAACTATTCATTGATTTTCATCTAATTAGGAAGCATTGGCCCGTATCTCAGCCATCTATGAATCTCAGAAACCTTCCAAGATTCATGCCCGGAAGACCGGCAGACGTCATTCCAAGAGACAAAAGTAGAACGACAATACTCAACCGTGTCTGTTTAAGGTATCTTCTTTATAACTGTGCTTATTTGACCATCATTTACAAACCTTGCAGTTTATTAACATTCGCATTTAACGCTTAATTGAAGTAACTAGGGGGTAGTCAATCAAGAAAGCGGAAAAATCAAAAAATTTTTTATTGTGATGGTTCGTAGGATCCTCAATGCCTAAGTTTAATTTAAATAAACAAAGGTGGTGGTGATGATAATGTTCACAGCTTTAAGACAGACAATACTACAAATATAAATAGGAAAAAACGATAGAGCCTTTCACCCTTCGAGGCTCATCAAATAAACATTCCCTAATTTCTTCATACCAATTGCAAAATAACTCGAAGAGATGCTTCGATGATAAGATCAAGTTTATTATGATCAACACAAAACTATAACGTAATCATAAAGTTTGAAAATGCATATGCTAAGAGTTCCAGTGCAATGAATAAAGCTAATATCAGATAAACCGCCATGTCACGGGAACAATGCCTTCTTCAGGGCGCGCGATGCAGTTGAAGGCAGCCGGAGAGAGATCTGTTGGTTAAATTTTTCATATAAAATTTGTAGACTTGGATGATTCAAGCAGAAATCATAAAGAAAGCACGATTGTAACTGTTTTACTATAACTCGATTCACGCACGCACCTATACTTCCAAAATCACAACTCCCACATCGATCTACGATGAAGACCCTCACCGAACTCTTACCACGAGTCACTTCTGCTCGTCGTCCGCAACATTTGTCATTATTAGGGTTTTTATCGGGCGGAAGGAATGAGTCGTATAACTCATGTGAAATGGCAGCTACCAGCTGATCGTTGCTATTGAATTTCCCACATGCTCCCAGTCCTACATTATAAAAAGTTGCATCTCCGGAGAAATTTTGCATTAACGGTAATGAGAATTTCTCATCCGACAAGTCACCTCGTTCTGTCAATATAGGTAATGAATGGGAGTTACCACATATCAGGAAAATCATGATAGTCACAAGGATCGAAAAATTTGCCATCTGATTATCGTACGTAACCAAAGTCATGATAAAAAAGTCGGATCAGATTCTAATAGAGAACAGAGGTGTTCTATTTATATGCGAAAAAATGTTCAGGGTTTATTCTTTGCGTGAATTACAGAATAGCAATATAGTTGGTTATTTGTTTGGGTACGAACATAAAAAAAGACTATATGCGCGTGAAGAAGATTGATCAACTTCTTTGCGAACGAACGATCTATTACAAGATTTAACATTGCGTGTATAATTTGCAGATTTCTTCGCTAAGAAAGTACAAAATGCATGCTCTATATGCTATATTAAGCTCGGATGTATGTACTCGTACGTGCTCTCGAATTTTTCGACGCGCTTTTTTTGGTTAGATGTTGAAACGATCAAATATTGATGATCCTGATTTTAAGTTACTTTATGCAAGAAAACTCGGGACGAAACCTTAAATTGTCATATGATCGCATGATCGAGATCAATAGAATGAATGAATGCGCCTCTACTAATAATGTTAATAATAGAAAAATTTACGGATATATTTTAGAATTGTTTCAAAGTTTCCGATTATATGAAAAAATTTCTTTAAAATGTAATTTCACACTTTTTATATTTTTTTGTATACCGGAAATTAAAAAAATTATTGAAAAAACATATACTGTAGAATAAATATAAAATATTATAAATATTCGTATTCAAAGAATTTTTATTATTTAAATCATTAAAATATTAAAAAATATATTATTGTAATGATAAATTGTGAGCAATAATCTCCAACTTCAATTCTGATAAGTAAACTAGAATTAAAGAAAGCAGTGGAATTGATTTTTCAAAATTATACAGTATCTCGAGATTGTTGTGTTTAAGATGAATACTCAAATTTGCAAAATAGGTTGTACAATACGATAATAGATGTTTATTGTTTTCTATAAAGATCTAATAAAGATTATCATTGTTTTTTTTTTACTTCTAATCAATCTGTATCTTATATACTGTATTATTATTAATCTTTAATTAATAAGTTTATAAATAGTAGACACATATTTTAAAGATTAGCAAACAAAAATTATAAAAAAAAAATTATTTTTGTTTTTTTTATATACTGTATATCATATTATAATCGAAAAAAAATATTTGGTTTCTAACTTTATAAAAAAACAAATAATATTATAAAAAAGTAAAAAAGATTTGATTTGATTTGATTTCTTTATATTAATAATATAAAAAAAAAATTTTTGAAATTATATATGTATATAATAATTAAATATAATAAATTTTAAATTTTAAATTAAAATCATATAAAAAAACTTTTTTAAAAATCTTTATTGTTTCTTTAAATAAAAATTAATAATTACTGTAATAGTATGAATCTGTGTCTGAAATCCAACAACTTTTAAAAACATCTGATAAGCTAATATTATACAAAACTTTTTCAATAATTGACTCATTTGAAAAAACACTTGTTTAAAAAAGAAAACCATGTATAAATAAAAAATTAAATAAAAAAATAAATAACTTATTCAAATATTTAATAATAAAATTACCTCTAAATTATTATACATGTTATACTATATGATAAAATTTATTATTTTTTTTTATTAATCATTGTAATTATACAAATCTACGAATATCCTATATTTTAGATGCAATGTCTTCTTAACTGCTGACCATCAAAACCATAGAAATTGCAGGCCAGGTTTCGAGTACCTTCACCTTTAATCTCCAGAAATCTAATTCATCGATGCCAAAACATATGAATCATCGCATTCATCAGATTTATCCCGATCTTTTTCATTTCACATAACATGACCACATATCGACTCCCTACACTTCTACGTTATGACTTTCCGCAAGCAGAACTTCGTATTTTCAAGAAAAATATTCCACTGTTGTATGCCGGCCCATTAAAATCATCAGCTTCTTGGATCTTGAAAACAACTTACCTACAAGTTCGCATTCACAACTTTAAAGATTCAATAACAAGACTTATTGGTTTTATATGTATAACGTTTTATTGCGAAAAACATTTTTTAAATCAGCCACGTAATTGTATTACTGATCGTATACCTTGACGCTCAACAATCATATCTCACACGTGCGGCGACTAAAATTAGATAAAAAGTCAAAAAAAAAAAAGGATTTGTGCGTAAAAGTTGAATTATTATATGAGAGACACATACTAGGCTCCCATCTTTTAGATCGTCTAATTTTTTCAACTCCTCTCGCATAATATCGTAAGGATAGGTTTTTGGCAACTATATTTTTGGCATTATTGTATTAACGTCATGTAAACTTAAAACATCACGAATTTAGTTACTTACAGCAGGTCTTTCCGGCATATTCTTTGCAACGACATATGTTAAAACGCCAACGCTCAAGAAAAATATGGAGAGATGTTTTAAGGATGTAGAAGGATCATAACCATAAACATCGAAACCCCATACACTTATCGCTTCCTCTTCTTCGTGGAGCTACCGAGCATTAGACAAAGACGTCGAAATTAAGAAAACCAAAATAACTAAAAAATTTATTATGTAATTTCCCTTAGGACGATAAAGACACACCAGTTCACCAAAATTTCTCCTATTCTGCATATCCCACCAACCCAGTGGCGGTCTTTTTAACCTAGACTCCATGGGCAGGTTTGGATAATCGCCAATTTGAGGGTCCTCAACCGAATATTTCGGTGGTCCAGCTTTGTATCGTGCAACTTGTTGTTTTGAGATGGCAAGATAGCCCTGGGAGGTAACGGGAAATTTTCGCAGAAAGGCGCCATTGACAGTACGGCGAATTGTCGTAAAAATCATTCTAATATAATGCAAGACAGCTAATCATTTTGAGCCTACATAATTTATATAAAGAATGATTGTATTGGTTAAATGCAGTAATACAACGTGTCAAATTTTTATGACTAAAAAAAAAATAGATGAACATTACTCATTTGAGAAAAACTGATGAATATGGAAATTATCAAATCTCATATCATCGTACCTTGCTCCTTTTTTTTTTTTTTTTTTTTAGTTTTTAGTTTCATTCACAAATGCTATTAAAATATATGGATTTGACATCAGACGCTGCCCTCGACGCAGTTGACATAGAAGAAAAACAGAGTTTCCAGAATTTAACTCTGACCAACGGTGTAACCGTAAATCAAAGTACGTCAATAAAAAAATATTTCTCCCAAATACAGCGAGAAGTATACGAACTTGCAAACTCGAACAAGCCGATTTCGAGATATGTAACTCACGCACTTAACCTTATTGAAAGGTCTCTAGAAATATATGGGTATGTGTTTCTTGACATTCAAAAGTGGGTTTAGAAATGTAATACAACCTACTGACTTCGGAATAAATAGGTTCGAAGGAATAAGTATTTCTTTCAATGGTGGAAAAGATTGTGTGGTACTTTTACATTTGCTAGCTGCAGTAGTATACAAAAAATTTCAAGACTCTGTAGAAAAGCTTAATATTCAGGCTGTGTATATTACAATTCCGAATCCTTTCCCCGAAGTTGAGGAATTTGTGAATGAAAGTGTCCTGCGATATGGGTTAAATCTTGTTAAAATAGGAGGTCCTATGAAAAAAGCATTAAAAACATATTCAGAATGTTATCCAAATATTAAAGCGATACTAATTGGCACTCGTCGAAAAGACCCGCATGGAGGTACGCACATCATCTCTATTTTTTCTTTTTGATAAAGAGTATCTGACAATTTTTAATACACAGCAAAACTGTTGGAGTTCATTCCAACAGATCCGGATTGGCCTAGTTTTATGCGTGTTAATCCAATCCTTGATTGGGACTACGCACTTGTGTGGGAATTTTTGCGAACGTTAAATATACCTTATTGTACATTATATGATAAAGGGTAAGGGGTGTTATACGAGATTTATCTATCTTTTGTAAAGATTATTTCTAACGTTTCTTCCAAATGTAAAGGTACACATCACTTGGTAGCATCGATAATACGTATCCTAATTCGGATCTTCGTAACCCTAACAACCCAAATGGTTATGATCCAGCATGGAAACTGGTTGATGAGAGTAAGGAGAGATATGGAAGGGAACATTAATAATAACGAATGTTCCCAAGTAATAGAGGCATTACATATCTTTTTTACTGAATCCAATAATTATAAGCGAAATATTTTTAATTTATATTAAGACTTATTGAATAGGTAAATGGAACATTTTAATTTCTTTACTCTAGTGATCTTGTTCAGTGAACAATATCATTTGCTTGATTTATTATTGGGATTAAAATTACTTTTTAAATTTTGCCATCCCATATAATAATCTTTTTGGATTTCCATCTTCTTGGATACACCCCACGAAGTCATACCCAACATCAACGATGATTCAAACATGAATGCTAAAATATAGAATATTTTATTACTTTAGGTCCGTCCGTAGATATTAATTAAATAATAATCGAAAACAAGCACCATACTTACCCTGTGTTCCATCGGCCACTCGAACAGGTTTTAGTTCTTCATTACTCGCCTTCTCAAAAGAAACGGCATCTGGACCATGTGGAGTCATGAAACTGTGAAGACTTTAATTAAACAATTAGTGCAGAAGTGAAAGAATAAGTTAATTGTGAGGATGATGATGAAAATAGAATTAAGAATATTTCTAAGTAAGTACCTCGCACCACCAGGAAGAAATCCTTTAGATTTAGCTTCGTATGAACCTTTAATGAGCCCCATAAATTCTGACATACAATTTCGATGAAAATAAGGGATTCGGAACTTCATAATTTGAATTTAATAAATAAATGCATTTAAAAAATTTATTAATAATTGATGAAGCATTTTTAAATATGGAGAATCAATTTATATTAATTATTCAAGATTATGGTTATATAGATGCTTACTGTGTGTTCTTGGACAGCCCATCTGGGAGGAAATATCACGAAATCTACCATCGCAGTACCAGGAAATGCTGATTTGCAAGTGAGCACCGTAAATATCGATGGATCCTTTAAATGTGTGCCATGAGGATTAGACAATTTGATGGGAATTTAGTGAGTTATTTAATTTAATAAAAGATATGAAGTATTGATAGAAATTGGAACTTACTAAATGATCAAACGAAACAGAATTTATGACATTGAATTTAGCGAGATCATATTTATAAGGAACATAATTTCCGTGCCAAGCTACCACATCGAATGGTGAATGATCCTTGGAAGTGGCCGATGAAAAATGTGTATGATTCGATGAAATTGGTTCCTAAGTTAACCAGCGTACAAATAATATTCATACCTGCTTTGCGATGAACAATTGTCCGACAAATTTGTTTATTATAGTGTATTCGCAATTCGATCTGTCCTCATAGTATGCAGTGGGCGTTAGAAAATCACGTGGATTCGCTAGACCATTCGCGCCTGTTTTGACGGAAAATTATAACTAGGTATTCTAACATTTACGCATGCATTGGGTGTTCAATTAAAGAACATACCTATTGGACCTAGATCGGGTAATTCAAAATGGTTCTCAAAAACCTCCAAAATATATCCACGGCTTTTTGTAATTAGAGAAGAAATCAGTGATAGTGATAAATGATTTACTAATGATTTAGGTCAGCACGGAAAGTAACCTTGGACCATCCGGAAGATTTACAGAAAATTTAATGCCACGCGGAATAACCGTAATCTCATTAGGTGCTACCAACATTCGTCCAAATTCCGTCGTGATATCAAGACGACCATGTTGCGGAACTAATATTTAAATAACATTAGTGTTTCGGGATCATTATTCACTTTACTATTACACATTGAAATACGCTACCTATCAGGAAATCACCATCGGAATTATAAAACGCAATATCGACCATATCTTGATTCGCATTATATATATGAATTGCCAATCCATGTTTAACTGATGGATCGCCGGCACCAGCGAGAGTGTGTAATCCGCTGATAAAATTTACGCCTTCTCGATGTAAAGAATTTAAGGGGTTGAGAAGTTCAATGGGACTCCAACGAGTTTGATTTGGATCAAAATTTATTTCCTTGCCATTAAATTGACCCACGATGTCTGTAGGTTGTTGAAATTTCTCAAAGGGTTTGTGGCATGCTGATGGTCGGATTCGGTAAAGCCAGCTATAGGAAGAATTAAGAATACATTACAGTTAAATTTCACCCACCAACGCAAAGTCAATAATATGCTTGAAGTACAACAATCAATCACCTTCGCTCATTGTGTTTCCTATCAACGGTAAAAGCTGTTCCAGAAAGTTGTTCGGCATAAAGACCATACGGACATTTTTGCGGTGTATTTTGACCTTGTTGAATAAAAAAAGGCGTGAGTTAAATGTCATATCCAATTATCAAAAAACTATTTATTTGTACCTTTGGGTAATGTATCTGGTAAAGCTTCTGAGACAAAATGGTTTCCAAAACCTTCCAAATATTTATACTCGCGAATTGTCTCCATATTTCGTAAAAGTTTAAGACTGCGAGGGAAATTATGACTTCCTTTTATAGCTTATTGAATACTACTACGTACATAAAATTCACTCATTGTTCAATGTTTCCCACGGTGCACCTATTGATTATTACCTTTATTTGGTTACGGCGTTGGATATTACTCCAAAATAGTTTAATTTAATGTATTTTTTCTTTTTTTTATTGTAACTGGTACACATATCCACGAATTTTTATATTATTATAAGAAATTTTAATTCAGTATGACATTTAGATGGAATTAATTAATTGATCAAAATAATGCAAAAAATCATTTGCTTTTGTTTTAAAATAACATTAAATATTATAATAAAAATAACTTGTTCTTAAGAATGATGAAAATATCGTTTATTTGTGATTATACAATATTTAATTTATGAACATTAGTCTAAATTAAATTATTCGACTGTCTCAAATGACAATCAATTAAATACAAATTT